AAGAGATGGAAGTACCTTACTATATTTTTCATTCCTATTTTGTTAAATTTCACTTTCTTTACACAACAGTATACTTTCTGTTACTTAAAGAAATGAAGATGCAGCAATAACAAAGATTAGAACCTAAACCATGTCTTTGGTTTACTTAACTACTATTGACTTTTATAAATTATTTGGGCCTAAATTCACAAGTTTTGGAAAATCTCTTGAGGCTTGCCTTCCTCTTACTGTCAGCATGAATTGCATCTAAATCATTTTACATAAACGGGTGTCCACTGTCAGGTTCCAGAACAAAGAGAAGATCAACTCCCTGCGGCAATCCTTTTAGTCTCTAATAGCTAGCTGCTTTGGGGAATTTCATATATCTTAAATCCCTTCAAGAATAACATGCACTCTTTGGTTTATATAACATAGCAACTTTGTCTTCTCCATATGCTCTAATAACTATGAATACTTCTTTCCTCTACTGAATTCACTTGCATATTTATCAAGCATCACTAACCGTTAGTTATAGTCTTTTCATGATGGTCAGTACTGAGAAATATCATTAAAACCAAAATTTCCACACAATGATATTAGTACTTCCTTAAAGCAGTGTTAAATGTAGTAAAAGTCCAATACAGAAATAATTGAAGAATCATTTTCCTTGCCTTCAAAGAGATTTTGAACTACATTCCAAACCTGTGAAACCACTCATTATTTATAAAGGTTCATTTTCTTCATCTAAACCCTTAACATGTCCTAGATATTGCTTATTAAGAGTATATGTCTTATGCTTCAATAGTCTCATATTATACATTATACTGACTTTAAGGGAAAAAAACACTTTTCATGAAATGTCTCTATTTTATTTTACCTTTATCTTTCTAATACTGCATTGATTCTGCAGAACCCTCACTGATAAACCCCAATATGAACATTAAAACCACTCAGCTACTGATTTATTTAATCATTAACTAAGACATTTCCTTGAGCCCCAAATCTGTTTTAGCACTCTATTTTGGCACTGTATATTATACACATACAAAATTTATGATTCTTACACTCAACATCTTATATTCTGGGGATAGATGGAAGCAAAGAGGAATGTACAAAAGCCAAATCATCATGGACCCTTCTCTCTTCTCCAATTTCTTTATCCAGGCTCCTCTAACTTCATTTCTCAACAGTGTCCTAAATTCTTCCACCAAATTGCATCCTATATTTTAGTTCCTCCAAAGTATTACAGTCATACTTTGTCCATACTAATTCTTCAACTGTTTGTATTATTTCCCTGCTCCCATGGCTCACTCTAAATCCTCATAGATATACAAACTAAATACACACACACACACACACACACACACACACACACACACATTGTTGACAAAGACCATATTAACCTCTTTGAATGGCCTGGTACAGATACAACATTTTAGGAACTTTAACTCTTTCAACAAACTAATGATGATATTTTAAGTTAAAATGCTCTACAAAGATACAGTAGCAGTATAAACAGATTATTGTATTTGCAGAAAAATGCCCTAAAGGAAAGAAGGAAGGAAGAGGGGATGGGGAGTGAAGAGGAAGGAAAAAAAAGAGAGGGAAGTAGAGGAACAGAGAGAAGAGGGAAGAAAAGGGAGGGGAAAAAAGAAGAAAGGGATAATCAAGAATATTAAGTTATATTTTCTGAATTGGTTGATATACAAAAGATTCTCCAACCACACATTTGCTTTACATATGTTTTTGTACAGAATTCTTCAAATGACAGCAACTCAAATGTTTACTTACTGAATTGCTCTAACACTTCACACACTTGAGGAGGATAAGTAATATTGATAGTCTGCCTCTTTTCTCAAGTATTGTTTATAATTTTTTTAAGTACAAAATGGTTGCAGGAGAAAAATCTATTGTGTAATCAAGGCTGAATATCTTTTTCCAATAATGTTAAAGGTCTTGATTTTAAATGTATGCACATCCTTAGAGACCAAATATAATGCTTATTTGTCACAACATTCACATATATGAAATGATATTCAAAACATTACAAAGTTTTATTTTTAATACTTCAATCAAGATTTTATAATTATATAACTGCCTTATTAAATTTAATTTGCTCCTTAAATTAATAGCAATAGGGGTGTACGCCAATGTGATAAAAATAACGCATCTCCAGCTTGTGTAATAAGAACTCCTATTGCTTTCAAATTAGGTCCATTAATGAGAAACAAATACTTCTAAATTTTTGTGGAATAACCATATGTGTTAGGTTAAAGTAAACACTACACACAAATAACATGCCATAAAAATTCAACATTAGTGTGTGCATTATAATTTTATATGTACTCGATTCATAAAATGGCTAATTCTGATTTTCTAGCAGTCACAATGAACTTTTTTTTTAATTCTTGTAAAACAAAAAAGCATTGAATCATGTTTACTGAACTTTCACAATGATTAATAAAATCAAGAACAAAAAGAATTAAATGATAAGAATAAAGAACAAGGATAAGCAGCCTTCTTGGTTAATATGCAAGATCCAACATTAAAAATTGATTTTGAATCCCTGGCCTTAGTGACTCTGGTTTTATAGGTTGGGCTGGGCATGAAGATTAAGCCATTAATCTTTTAAGAAGAAGATGCCAAGTGTACTCCTCTTCTACTTGATATATGGAGATCAGTAATGATGCTATTCAGTAAGCTATCTGGTCTCTCATACAAAAAGGTGCCACAGTAACAAACATCAGTTGAAATGAATCCAAGTTGAATGAATAAAAGCTTATGGATAAAATAATATTAATTTCCAAATTTCATACTTAATATCCCAAAACAAACCAAACATACTTCCATCTATATGGGACTTAGTATAGACCCTGGAAGAAGTTATCTTAATTCACATTCTATACAAAGGTAAAACAAGGCAGGTATTAGGGGTTTGCACTATGCTTATTTGTCATTATTACATTATGATATTAAAAACACATTTGGTTTAATTATTGACTGTATTCATAAATTGAAAACAGCAAAGTCTCAGAAATTCCACGTCACTTAGGACATCATTTCAGTAACACCCTCCGAAAATAATTATTTGTATCATTCAAAAGAAAATTTGAATTTGAAACAGGTTAATGAGCTTTCCCAAGTCTCTAGAGCAGGAGATACAAATTTTACAATTGTCCCACATTTCTAGGTCTGACCTATAATCCTCAAACACACAAAGTATTTCCCAATTTGATAAAACTTCTTACATCCAAATTAGAGCTTATATAGAATGGAGCTGATACCACTATTTTATGATGACAAAGTCATGTGTGCATTTCAGTAAATGAATCAGATCTGATATACACAAAACTGACAAAACAGATTTTATATAATCAAATGTAATAACTAGAATAATGAGGGTTTTTTAAGATTCAATCAATAATCATATTTTAACCATAGAGGTTCCTATCAATTAAAAATACCCCCTAAAATTGATGAAATAATATGAATCATAGAAACACTATTTTTTAAATTGATTACAAACACATGAATGGCATATACAGCAGCAGTACCAAAATGTTCTGAAACCTATGATGAGCTCAATAAAATACCTTTTACATTCAACCCTGAACCAAACCTTCATCCATGCACAAAGCTTTTCCCAATTTCTTCCCAAACTTTCTCCCCAAAAGGGGTTCATGTGAGCAAAATTTCTATTTCCCTTGCCTGTGGCTTTTTTCATCAACATGAATTTGAAACCTCTTAATCTAGGGGAATGAGATGGTTGCTGCACAGCCCCATCTCAATTTTTTTCATGCACTCTCCTTTCTGAACTCCAAATATTCAATTCTTGATATCACAACTTTCAACTTCCCATGGCTTTGTGAACATTAACTCATCTTTTTTTTTCCCTAATGTCTCTCTGGAACTAATGGAGAACACATTCTGAGTCTAGCAGCTAAACACAATGCATGTCTTCTTCCTTTATGCTTAAAAGCTATAACTTCAAAACTTCTGTAGTCTTACATCAAATGTGAACTTTTCAAGGCTTTGTATTATTACTGACATTAAAGTTTCATATCAGTATGTATTAAGTCCTCCCTTCCCCTGCCCCTGCCCCTCCCTCCCTCACCCTCCCCCTCCCCCTCCCCCCCCCCCCTCCCCCCCCCCCCTCACTCCCCCCTCCCCCCTCCCCCTCTCCCCCTCATTTGTTTTTAATACCAAGGGTTGAACCCAGGGGGTACTTAATGACTGAGCCACATCCCCAGAACTTTTTGAGACAGGGTCCTCCCAATTTGCCTAGGGCCTTGTTAAGTTGCTGAGGCTGGCCTTGAATGTGTGATCCTCCTTCCTCATTCTCCCAAGTTGCTGAAATTACAGACATGCACCACATCTAGCTCAATCATCCTATATGCTTTCCTTATTCCAAGTATTAACAGTCCACTACTGCCTCAGATAACTGATAACATGTGAAATTTTCCTTAAGATTCAACACTGATCTATTTAGCAGCCCCTTTCATTACCATTCTAGTCTATCTTTATATTTCCTTACTAAAATATTATGGTGTGTCCCTGTGACATTTTCTTAAATAACACTGGTGCTTTCTTTAAATGCTTCCAAGTGAATTCAGCAAATCAGTTGAAGTATAAACCTAAAAAGAATCTGCCCTAAGCATAGCCGAGAATGAAATGCTAACATTAAATGTTAACATAAAAAAATCCACAATATTGCCATGCAAAAATTAAGATGATACTCTATGAAAGAATGCTGAAACTCATATATAATGAAATAAAAATGCAAGCTTTTGATATTGAATTCATTCCAATCCAAAGTAAACAACATAAGCTACATTCGTTTCAACTCACTCCCACTTTTATAATATCCTATTAATATACTCTACTAATTATCCATATACCTACAATATCTCCACAATTTGAATTCCCCAAAATTGTCATACTCTCAGAAAAGGCACATATGTAAATGCAGCACCATCACTTTAAGCTGTAAAAATGAGGAAAAAAGGAGGAATACTTCTTACCAGAGCCTCTTTTGGTCACAACCTTCAAACTCTGAGTGAAAGTAGCATATAAGAGAATCAAATGCGGAATCGGAGCTTTCATCTTCCAGCTCTTAAAGGCTGTTCCCTATAGCAAAGATAAAAAGAAAAACAGCATTTTTAAAGATATATGCCAATATTATAAGATTGTTTGTAAAACATTTGATCAAGCATGATTGGGGCAATGAATCACACAAAACAAAAAACATAAACAGGATCTTTATCATATATTCCCATGTGTTGTATGGTCCTTATGTTTAAATAAAAATTAATAATGCCAAAATTATGGCTCTATAGGCTTTTTTAAAATCTTATATTCACTTAAGAGCTAGAATTTTTGCAGGCCCTAATTGTATTTAAATAGTTGAAACAATTCCTTCAAAAGAACTATTTATCTAGCAGTTCACTTTCAATATAAATTGCCAAAACTGACAATTTAAACTGATATTTAAAAATATCCCATGCTGCAAGAGTATGTTATTTTATTCAGTGTCATTCTTTCCAATCAAGATGAAATCTTACATTGTATACTGCTAACGATTTAATTGTGATTTTGAAAGCCTCTTTTAAAAAATTCAAATAAGATACTTCCAGAGAACATTAAGACTTTTTTTTCTCTATTACAAGAAGGTAAATTGTGGATGAAAGCTACAAAAAACATATATAATTTCTTTCTATTATAAGGTTCTTAATGGGATAACAGAAAGGATGCTACCCTTATGTTGGGACTTCAAAAGGGGAACTATTTCATTTGAAATTAACAATATATATATCATCTCCCTCAGAAAATTATCCCTCCTTTCTCTAAGCTTTTTTGAGATAAATATATACAGATTGTCATTTCTAAGTTATACAACATGGTGCTTTAATATGAATATAAATTATGAAATAATTCCCACAATCAAGTTAGTTAATGTATACATATTTGGACACAGGTACTATTTATTTGTTTGGTCACAACACTTAAACTCTACTTTTAGAAAATTTCAAGTATATAATGCAGTAGTATTAAGTATATAATGCAGTACTCCATGCTGTATATTAGATTCACAGAATGTATTCATCTCATATCTGCAAGTTTGTCCCTTTTACCAACATTCCCCCATTTTCCTCAACTTCCCAGGCTTCAGCAATCACCTTCCTCTGTATTTCTTTTCTTTTTGTATATGGCTGAAATAGAGTTGAAAGACTGAATTTCAAAAAGCAGCAAGTCAGAACATAGTTCACATATATTGTCAACCCATGACAGCACAAGTTTCTTTGCAAGACATATGAGGACCGATCACATCCAGCATTCCATTGCTTTAACTTTATTAAAAATGAGGAAGCAGAAATGGTAATTTGACACAATTTTTGCTCTCCCAGAGACTCAGTTACCTCTGAATATTTTCAATGGCTAATTCATTCACATTAATAAAGATGTGTTAAAATATATATTAATTCACAAAACAAAATCAAAATCCATTCACTGGCAGCAAAGTGTCATTGTCATTATTTTAGTGGGAAAGATCAGAGAATTTATAAAATAACATTGAAAATAAGGTATTTTAATCACAGCACACCTTTAAAATGATGATAGCCTCTGTCAGTTTTCTAACCAAGGACCTTGGATTCACATAAAGACATAAATGAAATCTGGTTTGAAGAGCTGATTCATCAGACACATCTGAGAAACTGCCACCATAAAGTGTAAGCCTGAGTCATGCATTCCTCAAACCCAAATCACATTTCCCAGCTACCTCACTAACTAGAGCTGCAGGAAATCTACAAGTTGATATCTTCAGCCTTCAGGTTAGCAGTGAGAATCAGTTCCTTTCTCAGTGTGAGTTCAATCAGTGCTGCCCAAGAAGCTCAGGATCCAACTATATACTGCAAGCCCTTCCAGCTTAACTATCTTATTACTTTAGCCTTGTTCAAAATACTATTTCCTTACTCATTTCATTTCTATAAGGCACACAGTCTAGTTTGCAATTCTATTTCTTAAAATTAAATTGATTTAGAAAGCATCAATTTGGTAACATCAAGATCCTTAATTGAATCTCTTGAAACTCTGTGTATTAGGGAAAACAAAAAGAATTACATCGCATTTCACAGACTTGATATCTTGGTCAATCAGTAATAATCTCTACAAAAGTATTTGAAGAAATTTATTGTGTCTTAAATCGAAAGATGGATTAAATATGTCTAGTCATAGATATTTAAGTTTTGATGTACTGATGGCAAAAAAATGAAAATTCTTACCCAGAAAAAACAATGACAACTGTATACAATTGCCCCACCTGATCAATAGGGGATATTTCCCAAGACCTTTGGTTTTGCCCGAAATCACAGGTAGTACCAACCCCTGTGGATATTGTGTCTTTCACCACATATTCACACATATTATAAACTTTAATTTATAAATTAGATACAGCAGAGATTAACAATAGGAATTATTTTAAATTTTATTATAATTGTAAAAATTTTACAGACCTGCAATAAAAGTTGCATGAGTTATCTCTCAATATTTTATTGTACTTGACTTACTCTTCTCATGATAAAGTGAGATAATACAATGCCTATGTGTTAAGATGAAGTGAGGTAAATTATATGAGCATTGTGATACAGCTAGGATACTACATAAGCACTGTGATAACTACCACAGTTGATTTGATAACAGAGATGGCTACAGAATTAGTAATAGGAGTATCTCATATACAGGGTGGATACACTAGAAAGGAGGATACACTCATTCCAAGTGGGACTGTTCATGACAGTGCAAGATTTTGTCTCACTACCCAAAATAATACACAGTTTATATCTCATCAATTATTTGTGGAATATTTTTAGAGCATGGTTAACAGGAAAATTGAAACTACAGAAAACGAAACTATAAAGGGAGCTACTGGATAATCATTTACTGAGGTTCTCATGTAACTGACAGTCCATACTATCAGTAAAATAATTTTAAAAGGCTTCAATTTCTGGAAGGGTGGACCTAAAATTACTTACCTGATTCTTATTAACAATAGCACTCATCACTTGGCTTCACATAAACCCCTATTAAATCATATGCAGAATAATGACATCATAGTGTTTACGAGCAGTTATGTTTGTCTCCTTTCTTCTCCCAGCTTTGCCACCTATCAGTAGTGTGCTTAGGGACAAATAATTTATCCTCTCTGTGATTAGTTTCTTTATTTGCAAAGTTTTGTAACAGTATATGTAGCATAGGGCCTAGAACAGACTGGCACATAGAAAGAAGTTAATAAATCAAAGTTGCTGTTGTTGTTGTAGTTGATTACTGTTATTATTAGTAGCAGTACTAATACTATTACATAATCAACTCACATCCACTCCCTGTGAAACTTTCTATATATACCAGTTGTAGTTTTCCATCTTTTCCCATATTATTACCTTATATGCTTATTTATATATATTTTTCTATTTTGCTAGACTTGATGACCCTGCAGGGTACATGTGCATTTTATTCAATTTTTTTATTTCCAGTAATTAATGAATGCTGTCTGAAAAAAACTGATGAATATATGAATGAACATGAATATGGCTTCTATCATATGCAGCTCGATTATTGTATTAAAACTCATCATTTGATAAACTTATTGAGCATATACTAGTTACAAGATGCCATGCTATATTGTGAAGTGAGAACACAAAGACAAGGCAATACAGTGTAATAAAGAAGGCTCACAGACCAATAAAGGAGACAAATGCTTACCTACTTGATTACACTGGTCCTGTTGCCATATGATAAGTATAATGTGCTGAGGGATTAGAGGGAGCAATCTATTAATTCTGCAGCAGGTTGGATGACTGGGGAGTCATTGGAAAGGGATTTCAAGAGAAGTATTTCATCGCAACCATGAATTAGACAGTTGCTAAGGGAAAGAGAATTCTGGGTCCATGACAAAGAATGAGTGAAACATTCAGTGTGGTAGGGAGAATAATGCTCCACTACCACCAAACATGTCCACATCCAAATCCCTAGAACCTGTTACCATGTTACCTTACATACCAAAGGGACTATATATATGTGATTAGTTAAGGATTTTGAGGTGGAAGACAATAATTTAGGTTTGCCTAAAATGGTTACAACTTTCCTAGAGAAGGGCAGCAGATGTATCACAGAGAAAGAAAATATAAGGATAGAAGCCAAAGTTAGAGGTACAAGTCAGAGGTACTTTGAAGATGAAATAATAGGCCATGAACTGGTGAAGGCGATCCCCCACTCACAGTCTTGACAGGGTCACAGTGAGAAAAAGTGTTGGCAAAGCCGCTCTCCCACTGTCTTGACAGGGTCACAGTGAGGATGAATGCTGGCAAAGCCACGCTGGTTGGTGGGAAACCAAAACCATGAGACCCTTTTTTATGTAATTGGGACTTTTCATTTTCATGCTTATGTTTCTGACAGGAGGCATGAGTATGTTAAATGCCAAACAAATTAAATTTCAGATGGCTAGAACATAACAGGTAGTTCATGCCTTGGAGGCTGTTCTACTACCCCTCAGCATATCAAGGACAAAGTAGAAGGCTGTTCTTCTATCTCAGTACATTGTGGATAAACCTGATAACGGACAACAATCATCCTTTGAAAGGTCTTGAGAATTTTAGGCACCACATTGATTATATAAACTAGAACCCAAGCCCATATTTCCGGCCTCTTAGAAAAACTAATCAGTATGCTTATTTCACAAAGTTCACCACATGCAGTTTCATTTTTGATTAAGGAAAGTTATATTATACACTTAGGAAAGTTAAAACATATAAAGATACATTCTTCTCTTTTTATAAACCCTTTCTTACTTTACATAGGGATATATGATGAGCATAGTTAATATTGGTGGAAAGTGGATTGATTTTTAGAACTTACTTTCTATTGAGAAAGATTATAAAGATATGAGAACTAGTGCACCTTGACTGAGAAACAAAGAAACTCTTTGAGAAAGTAGCTCAACCAGTTTTATGAGAATAAATTTAGGAATTAATTAAAACAGCTTTATAAGACACAGTTTTAGAATAATGTTAGAAATATTATTTTATTTAGATTCTTAAGTTTAGAAATTCTTAAGTTTTTAGTTGTATA